AGAGAGAGAGAGAGAGTCATTTTCGGAGAAAGAACCTTATCGTGGAACGCGTGGTTACAGGTATCGTCCTCTTGTAGCAGCGTGTACGTGGACGGAACCGAGTTACGAGGCTCGAGCAACGCTTCCGTCCTCGTCAAATACGGCACGTACACCGGCCTGGCCAAATTCACGGTTTGGATGCCGGAATTTCCTCTCGAGATGACCGTGGCGGACACGAGATTGAGCCAGATCAAAGGGTGGAAAGTGGCCGAGGAGCACGTGGCGGGGGCGAAAAGCAAGCGGAGTTTGAACTCGACGAGCGAGCCTGCCTCGAAGACGAAAAAGAGGAGCGCCGCGGAGTTGGAGGACACCTCGATGGACATCGAGGACGCGGACGTGATCCTGGAGGAGGACGAGCAGGAAGAGAGATTTCGCGGGAACGACAATTGGGACGCTATCAATTCCATCGACAGGGGGGGGCCGTCGGGGAGCAATTGCAGGCTCCGTTTCCAGCAGAGCCCGGTCGAGGTGCACGCGAGATTCCTGGCTACCGACCACGATTCAGGCAGGGTGTCCTATTTCGTGAATCGTCGAACTTGGCTACGCGTGACCGATCTGGTGAACGGGATGCTCCGAGTTTCGGATCCGAGGATCGCCGATCTGTTGCAGGGAAGGATCGTGCAGGGCCGCGGTGTGGGGAGAACGGAAGTGCAGGTCCTCTCGCCGATCACGAGCAAAGTGATCGGCGCGAAGGAGGTGCGAGTGGGTAACGATCGAGTGGCGATCACCAGGCTGTCCGTCAGAGTGGTGTCTGGCTTGCAGCTGACCATCAGCCCCGACACAGCTATAGAAAATGGATACGTGGCAGAGACATCGGTCACGAGGAAGTTGACCGCTCAATATCAGGTATTACACGTATATACATAAATATCTCGCGTGTCGCGTTTCTTTCTTATGAGAAAAAAAAAAAAAATGAGTGGAGGCGACGAAACCGAATTCCGAAATTTCTACACGACGTATACGAAACGTATATGATACGTAGGAGGGTCTGCTGGATATAGACGTGGAATTCTCGGACGGTACGAGAACACCGCTGAGAGAAATCGCGGTGAACGATTATCACTTGTTGGTGGAGAGTTTAGATCCGGAAGTAGTGGCGTTCGCCCCGATGGTCGCCTCTCATCATCCGCGAGTAATCGCAGTGGGCGAGGGACGAGGCGATTTGTTACGAGTCAGCCTCCAACTGGCGGACGCCTGTCGTCTGACCGGCAGGCGGTCTGGGAAGGGATCTCAAAGGGCTACCGCCGCCACCCTTGCCACCGCTTCCGCCAACGTCGAGGTGGATTTCGCCTCGAGCGATCTTCCCAATCGACCCGAATTCGTGCAGAACGACGGAGGTGGGACGGTCGGCTCTCATCATCACAGGGAGAGGAAGACCAGCAGAGAGATGGCGCCCGATTTGCACGACATCTTAATCGGTAAATAGATCCTGTCCCATCCTATCGTCGTTTATTACATCTGTATTCGCTCTTCTCTTTCGTTCTCTCGTTGATTGTCACGATTGTACACATTTTAGTAGCGCTTCAACCTAATCATTTATCATTATCTCGTTTTTCGATCGAATGGATGGATAGAATTTTCTCATCATCTTTTCTTTTCTTCTTCTTCTTCTTCTTCTTCCATCCTCTTTTCGTTTTTCCCTTTTTTCGTCGTCGTTGTCGTCGTTGTGCTTGCCATTCGTCTTCCTCCATCCGTCCCGCTTTCCCCCTTGCCCCCCTAGCGAACTGAGGCCAGGCCAGAACGATCCTCCGAAAGGTGTACAACACCTGGCGGAATTCGTGGACCTGCCGTCGGCTCAACGCTAGCGCGCTTACTTGCATCATCACCGTGCTGCATGACGAGGCGTTGGTGTCGCTTTTCTGCGGGCAGCTGGTGTCGCGCGCGGTGGTGGATACGAAGCCTGCCACCAAAGTAGCTGCCGCTCTTTCTCTACTTCCACTACCGTTTCACTCACTCTTCTCCTCTCTCTTTCTGTCTCTTTGTTTTTTGTGCAAAGGGCTACCGCTGAAAGACGAGAACGGGCACGAGCACGAGCACAAGCACGAGCACGAACCTTTGGTGCAGGCACGGCAGCACCGCACGGCTATAGCTAATGGCATGTCTTCAGGAGGTATGGGCGGTGTCGGGATACGGCATCACGGAGGGGCGCGTATGAGTCCACTCGAGATCGGGATGTACGTCCTTCTCGCGGCCTTCTGTTTCGCCATCGTCGTCTTCGTCGTTTCCTGCGTGGTCTACGCGAGCAAGTTCAAGCCTCAGCCGCCGGATTCCCCGTTGGCCGGCTCCGCGCTTCCCGTTCTGTCCGGCGCGGCGAGAGCCAGAGCCGCGGCCAACCAGTTGGCGTCGGGAAGAAGACCTCCCAGAGAGTCTACGACGAACGCGCACGATTGGGTCTGGCTGGGACGAGCCACCCTCGAGAGGGCCGCTTGCGGACCGCAACAGGTATCTCTCTTCTTATTTACAATCGTATCGGATTCGTCACGGATCTACGTTTCGCTTTCCAACTACGAGCGAATCGTAGCAGGAGGAGGAGACGCGTACGAAAGACGCGTAGAGAGAGAGAGAGAGAGAGAGTAGTGCTATTCTATTGCGAAGGGTAAGAGT